GCTGACCTGGCCAGGGCGCGGGTGGAACTCCCGGCGTGTGCCCCCACCGCTGACCCCTCCACTGCCCCGCCAGCTGCCCCCACCCCTGCAGCTCGTCCCTGACACCCAGAAGCCGCTGCACGAGCAGCTGTGGTACCACGGGGCCATCCCGCGGGCAGAGGTGGCCGAGCTGCTGGCGCACCCCGGGGACTTCCTGGTGCGGGAGAGCCAGGGCAAGCAGGAGTACGTGCTGTCCGTGCTGTGGGACGGCCAGCCACGCCACTTCATCATCCAGTGCGCCGACGTGAGTGACCCCGCCCCGTCCCGCTCCCCAGGGAGTGACCCGCCCCGGTCCCGCCCTGGGTCCTACCCATGGGCAGCTGCTGACCAGCACCCCGCCCCCGCCCTCAGGGCCTCTACCGGCTGGAAGGCGAAGGCTTCCCCAGCATCCCCCTGCTGGTCGACCACCTGCTGCGCACCCAGCAGCCCCTCACCAAGAAGAGCGGGGTGGTCCTGAGCAGGGCCGTGCCCAAGGTGAGTCCGGCGGGATCGGGGTGCGCTCCAGCCCACAGGACAGGGTGGGCGGCTTTCAGGCCCCCGTCTAACAGAGGCGCCGGGGCCTCTGCACTCCGGCCAGCCGCCCTCTGGTCTGGGAGGGCGGGTCCCCTTCGTGGGCCGCGGCCACCAGGTCCCCGTGCGCCCGACCGGTCCTCGGGACAGACCGGCGAGCGGGGGCCAAGAAGGGAAGGCAGTGCGGGTGGGGGAGGCCCGCGGGGAGGCCCACCCTGCAGGCCTCACCCCCTCTCCAGGACAAGTGGGTGCTGAACCACGAGGACCTGGTGCTGGGCGAACGGATCGGCCGGGTGAGTGGAGGCCCCCAGCGCTGCTGTGGCCCCTCGCAGGTCCCCGGGCACGCTGCTTCCCCGCCCAACCCTGCAGGACACAGGACAGACAAGCCCAAAACTGCCCACTGGGACCCCGCCCCACCTGCCCGGCCCCTGCCGCCCGGCCCCTGCCACCCAGGCGCCCCTCAGTGGGGGCGAAGAGAGCCCAAAGCCCCCTCAGGCACCTTCATTCCCTAAAAAGGTCCATCCCGCCCCGCCCAAGCGGGGCCCCAGTCAGGGCCTCTCCCGGGCAGTGACCATCCACTGGAGAGCCCAGGGCAGGTCCAAGCCTGCGGGCCCCAGCGGCGCCCGGGCGTGGGGAGCCCGGTCGCAGCCCAGAACCGTTCCAGGGGAACTTCGGTGAAGTGTTCAGTGGACGCCTGCGAGCGGACAACACCCTGGTGGCCGTGAAGTCCTGCCGGGAGACTCTCCCGCCCGAGCTCAAGGCCAAGTTCCTCCAGGAAGCGAAGTGGGTGGCCGGGGGTGCTGGGGGAGACCCCGTGCGCCGCGGGGCGCCAGGAGCGGGGAGTGGCCCTGTGGGGGCCGCTGGGGCCCAGGGACCCTGCTGGGCACCGGGGCTGCTGGCCCCGCGCCTCCGCGCGCCCTCCCCCCTCCCCCCTCCCCCCTCGGCCGGGGTTCCCTGGGCTCTCGTGGGTGGTGTAGTCCCCGAGTGGGGGCCTGAGTGGCTGCGCCGCCCCAGGATCCTGAAGCAGTACAGCCACCCCAACATCGTCCGGCTCATTGGCGTCTGCACCCAGAAACAGCCCATCTACATCG